CTGGCAACCAGGGTAGTGTCCCCTAGGAATTTGCCAAATGTCCCCTCTCGGGGACATGTCCCCCAAGTTGAAAACCCATGGTTTAAATGGAAAAAATCAAGGTTTTTCTACCCCAACTACGAACGGCGAAGCGGGTTTTTCACACGTCTGATTTAGATATGCGAGAAGCATGTTTCCCCCCATAAGCTACTCTGATTGGTTGCTGGAAAATGTATGAGCCAATCAGAGAGCAACTGAATCATATCCTCTTTGACAATCAACAAGGAAGGACTTTATATATTGTGTTGAAAGCGATTTAATCAAGTGTAAATAGAGTTATTCGAGCATAAACGGACAAGAAACTTAAATTGGAAAAAAGAAAAGTCAAGAGAAATCAAGTTTGTGTAATATTAATTACAAATATTAAAAAAATAAACAGAAAAGACATTTTATCAGCCTTTCTTCACACTGTTGTTTTTGTTTTTTAACACGAGTAATTTCTACTTTAGTTCGTTATACTTACGTTAATTAGTTATTAATTTAGTTTAAAGCTTTGAAGCTAGTTTGGGTATAGTTTAATTATATAGATTTTTATGAGCATTGATTCGCGCTGTTGTACTTGTATTTTATTATTTTTACGAGTTATTTCTAGTTTAGTTTGTTTATACTTACGTTAGTTTTTAGATAATTTAAAACTGGTTTGGTATAATTTTATTTAATAATCCAAGTCATTGACAACATGATATAAAGTTTGTTTATACTTACGTTAGTTTTTTAGATAATTTAAGCTTTAAAACTGTAGTTTGGACTTTGGTATAATTTTACTTTTGATAATCCAAGGTCATTGACAACATGAATCCTTCACCGCCAAAACGAGAGGGCGACTTGCTTCCAGTAGCTACTTAAAAAACAAAATGCCAGCCAGGATACTTCTACACTTTGCCTATTCCGTGATTATATGAAATCATTTTACATGCTTGTGATGCGGTTTCCAAGGGTTTTAACAGGGTTTAGTAAGCTGTAGGGATACATATGTTTTGTTGCTTTTAATTTACGCAAAACAACGAAAATGCTATTCCGTTCATAAAATTACTGAACGCCTATCAGCCCATTATTGATAATCTTTTAGGATTTCACGCTTTAACAGGGTGTGATATGACCTCATCGTTTACTAAAAAATTGTAAAGCGAAAAGTTTATAAAAAAAATTGTAAAAAACAACTGTAAAAAAAATTTGTAAAACATATTGTAATGTGTAATGTGTAATGGTTTTGTTTGTGGAAACACCACGTAAATTTATTACTGCAAAGCTTTCGATTCGTAAGCCCGGATCTTCATCAGTGCTAATAATATGTGACTTGTTTAATAATTCACACGCTCTTTTTATATATAAAAGTGTCGTGATTTGTTGGCTTGCGTCATTTGAAATTTAATTAAACGGCCACATCAACACGTCATTTCAAACGTAGTGAAGTGATTCCAATTAACGCGCGCGCATCCAAGACAAGAGAAATTAATTTTGCACATTAAAGAGAGCACGCCACGTACTATCTACTGCCTTTCCCTCCTGATTTATTGTATTGTGCTTCTCGATTTCAATTGACTCTATCATTTTGCGAGAGAACTTATGACTATCAATCGCCAAAATGGTTGCTTCGTCCCATTTTATACGATGGTCGTTTGTCCAAGTATGTTTATATAGCCACAGCTGATTTATCTGGCTCGGCTTTCTCGCAATTCGTCTTGTGTTCCTTAAAACGTACTGAGAGATTTCGACCAGTTTCACCAATGTAGACCAGGCCACATTCGCAAGGAATGCGGTACACACCAGGTTTCTGAGATTCATTTACGTTGTCCTTATGTGTGCAAAGAGCTCGAAACAATTTGTTTTCGCTGGAATGGTATACCTTTATACCTGCTTCATTCCTCAAAATTCTTTCGATTTTGTGTGAAGCCGGACCAATGTATGGTAGACAAACAGACGACTGATATTCAATCTTCTGCTGTATATTTTGTGGCGTTTTCATAGCATTATCTATGAAATGCCGTGGGTATAACCATTCATTTTTAGAACATTTCTTAAATGTTCTAATTCATCGTCAACGTTACTTACGTACCTCACAAATTGTTTTCGCTCGGTTGATGCGTGTCTTACACACAGAGTTTTTAATACTAGGATGACGAAATGAATTATAATGCAGATACCTGTCTGTATGTATTGTTTTCCTATAAACCTTATGTCCTAGCGACCCATCATCATGTATAGTGAAAAGAACATCTTAGAATGGTATAGTTTTATCATCCTTCTGTACTTCAAAAGTAAACTTGATCGATGGATGCAAACTATTGATGTGGTCCAGAAACTTTTGTAAATTATCTAGTCTATGAGACCAGCTACAACTAGCTACTCAATGTATCATCCACGTATCTGAACCTGAAACCAGGTTTCAACTTTGCAGTAGCTAAAACGACCATCGACAAACGACCATCGTATAAAATGGGACGAAGCAACCATTTTGGCGATTGATAGTCATAAGTTCTCTCGCAAACTATGATAGAGTCAATTGAAATCGAGAAGCACAATACAATAGATCAGGAGGGAAAGGCAGTAGATAGTACGTGGCGTGCTCTCTTTAATGTGCAAAATTAATTTCTCTTGTCTTGGATGCGCGCGCGTTAATTGGAATCACTTCACTACGTTTGAAATGACGTGGTTGATGTGGCCGTTTAATTAAATTTCAAATGACGCCAGCCAACAAATCACGACACTTTTATATATAAAAAGAGCGTGTGAATTATTAAACAAGTCACATATTATTAGCATTGATGAAGATCCGGGCTTACGCATCGAAAGCTTTGCAGTAATAAATTTACGTTGTATTTCCACAAACAAAACCATTATATTTTATCGCCATGCAAACATACAAAGAACTTATTATCGTTTATAGACCCGGAGCGAGGGGGGTTCGCCGTAATATTTCCCGAATCTCGAAATATCGCAGAATCCCCCGAACGGAGGGTCTATAAATGATATATTATACCGAAAATTAAAGAACTCACTAAGTTCAGAATAAACTTTTTTAAATAAAACTTGCTGAATATTATAAAATACGCGAATACAATTTTTACTTTCTTAAGCCCGTTCTCGACTAGGCGAATTTATTCGCGCGAACAGATAAAAAGTAGGAAGCGATCCTACTTTTTCGCCGCGAATTTTTTCGCCGACCAATCACGTTGCCGGATTTCGGTTTTCGCTTCGCGTTGCGCGAACAAATTCGCGTAGTGGAGAACGGGCTTTATGTATACCTGAGTTTTTGACGTTTCCTCTTTAAAATATTTGAGCATGTATCCTTTGGATCATTAAAGGTAACATACGTCTTGAAAATGTTTTGTTAAGTCAAATATTCTGTACGAAAATACGAAATTACAAACAACAGCTCGCGAACGCCATATTTTTTCAGAGCGTGGTGTCCACGCGTCACGCGTGAGCGTGGGATACTATAATATCCCACAGTGGATCTGCCGTGGGATATTATAGTATCCCACGCTGGATTGCGAAATCATGAATTTGAGTGAAATACTGTAAAAATCACATTATCACGTGGTACAAATGCTGTTTTTTCATTGGACAATTTGAATTTGAGGTATAATATTATTGTAAAGTGGTTTGGAAAGCAAAAATGTTGGAAAGTTTTTGAGCAATATAATCCATATTTAATTCAAAATCTTGACAGAGACGACACAGAAGAGTTTGTTTGTCGGTTATATCGAGCACCGAATATAGAAGCTGGAGTAAATAAATGTAGAACAACAAATCTGTCTATACCGTCTTCATGTAAAATTTGATATCTTATTAATTGTGGTTGCACTAAAAAATGCCATACAGGTTTTTGTATTAAATGATATAAAACTAGTCTTAGAATGTTAGGGTTTGTAATCCAAGTGAGAATATATACATTTTAAGACCTAACCAGGAGCGACTGCGAAAAATGTAGCACAAGGTCCTCTGGTAGGAAGGACCCTAATATTCTAATATTAATTCCACCAAGTGAAGTGCAAGAATCCAAATAATTGAAGTCCACCTTATAAAACTAGTCAGCGTTGCACTCCTGTGATGTTCCTGTGATGTCCTAGGATGTAAGAGACCTTACAGCTATAGGAGTATGTATAAAAGTGTATTAATAAAGCAGAAATATAAGTAAAAAACCACACTTGTTGGCTTTAAATCTCCGTATTTTGTCAGAAATTATATTTTTGTCTTTGTTTACACCTTATTTTTACACTTCAGTCTGTCCTTCAGCCGTTTCGCACATGCAATTTCCGGTGTTCTTAGCCAATGGGCGGGCGAGACTAATTAGTCACAGCCAATGAGGATGGTCTATTTGTTGCATGGCAATAGGGAAAAAGAATTTTGTAAAGTATAGTATGCATATTCGAATGTGTTTAGCGATGTCACTTGCTTTTAACAAAGAATTGTCATCGAACTTCATTGTTTGTAAGCTTGGCCGCCCGTCTAATATGTCCGGAAAAATTACAGTATGTCCGGAAAAATGTTTTGCATTCCCGGAAAAAATTTTGTTTGTCCGAGAAAAATTTTCGCCAACAATTTCGGTGGGAAAAATATTAAATATTGTCGGCAAAATGGAAAACTACACCCCCCTTCTTTATCCTCTTCATTTGCTACGGCACTGACTGACTTCACATAATTTTTGGAGTTAGCTTTTGACTCCTGAATTGTCAGTTCAACCTAGCTATAAGTTTTGAAGTCTTGGATTTGGAGTTAGAGTTCTTATATATTATGTAGCGTCGCTCCATGGCTCCCTAACTATTGAAGTCAACTGTTCGCCTTTATCAAGTTTCATCTTAAGCTTAAAATCTCGTATTTGAGTCTGTGCTACCTATAGCTAGCTTGGCGAACAAGCATGCATTTCTATATAGGACCATGTACAATAACTACCATGTACTATATCGTTATAGCCAACACGATGCATGCAGCAGTACTGACACACTGTTTTTTTCCAGGTCAATGGCAATGTGACATTGTCAGAAAACATTGCTGATAACGGCGGAATAAAATATGCTTTTCGGGTAAGTGAAAATTGGCAAGAACGCCGTTCTCTGTGCATTTAACAGTACCAAAATGAAATATGTACCTGATAAATGTGATATGAGACAAATCATTTTATATTCTACTACGATTCTCACCAAACTATTGCATCACAATGAAAAACATCGTTCTTCGTTCCTCCATCGAGGACGAATATTTTGGAAAAATTCGTTGTGTACTTCATTCTGAACGAAGGCAGCAAAACAGCGATGGGATATAGTTTAATATCTCGCACTCTCGCTGTTTTGTCTGGTGCAAGTTAAGGGATTAGAGTCAGTATTATACATACACAGCAACACGTAAATCCATAACGGAAGACACGTTGAGTGACGCTAAACTCAGTATGCGCAAGATAATGTGCAGACGGGCAAAAATTGTCATCGTCTTCACATTTTGTTGTCTTGCTCAAACTCTCGAATAAGACTTGAACGAGCCTTCTTTGAAACGGTTCTGCTTTCTTGCATTGGTAAAGTGATTCATACAGCAACGATTTAATCGACGGATGGAATTTAATGGAACCAAACCGTTCAATGGACGGCTGGGAGCGCAATGTAACGCATTAGCGAAAGGAAAGGGGAAAGGAAAGCATTAGCGAAGTATAAAGTTCATCAATAATCGCGAGCGCATGACTATGCATGGGGCCTAAAAAAATACCTGTGGTTCAAGTTTCATATCGTGAAAAAATTAGGGGCGGTAGGTCGGAAATTTTTTTAAAATATTTTTTCATGGTTTTGGCGGTTTTTTGCTTGGCCATTTACAGTGGAGTCCCGACATCAATATTAACTAGAGATGCGTATTTGCTATGGATGAATTTAGGCAATCTGGTTCAATAATTAGTCTGACAACAGACGCCATTTTGGCACGCTGTATGAGCAGCCCGCAACCACCTGGAGAAATAGGGTCGCACGGTCAATAGCGCTGAAAAAATAATAGGGTCGGCAGAAAAAAATAGGGTCGGTCGGGAATCGGAACCACAGGGACTTTTTTAGGCCAGGGTGGTCATCTCACTGATCTCAAAAATATAGCTGTTTAAAATTAAACTAATTTCATTTCAAAGTACGAGTAATATTAATAAGTTGAAGAGTTTATATCGGCAAAGCCCAGTTAATTTCAATGAACATTTGAAACGTTTCGGCGAAGCGTTTCGTGATGAATTTAAATTCGATAGTTCTGTGGTTCAAAGTGTAAAACATTCATTTATTTATGATGCTTTGAACAAAAAATTAAGAAAACGATTATCGCGTTGCCATTGCTAACATGACGCGAGCAACGCGAGCCTGCGTTCCGTGTTGGCGTAATTAGAATACTTCATGTTGAAACAATGTTTGGAAAATGTGGGCGAGGGGTTGTTGCATGCATGTATTTCTAGTAAAATACGAGATAGCAGGAGAAATTACAATGCAATTTCGATTGATATGAAAGAATGGTATTGCACATGTATAGGCCTACATATGAACCATACATAGCAAATATTTCAATAATGAAAACCAAATGGAAATGTAATGTATCAAATGAATTAACAATGCATTTAATTCTCTTATCGTGCACATATATAAGTATAGTTTGGTCGGTAGAGATATGATTCTCTTAGTTATTTGAGTGCTTGACAATTATTCTAATTATTCTCTCCGTGCAAGCAAGGCCATGCATATTAATAATATCCGGAATATATACTTTACTAGATTGTATAAAATTAACATCAAATTAAATATATGATGAATAAGTTGATGAATACAATAAAATAATAACTTAATAAAATAGACGAGAGGTTAACAATTGCAAATGAAAATAGTCGTCTATTTACAAATGAAAATAGTCGTCTATTTATAACATAAATTTCCCATTACCTTCGCACTTTACATGCAACTGTATTCGTCCAATACACACCAACGGCGGCGCTTCTCGGAACAGTTCGTCAAATATAAATCACAAAATTAAAGTAAATACAGTTTATATATGGACCTTCGGCAATACAGCGTCAAAGGCAAAGCGACTTGTATATATAGAAAAAACTATTCGTGTATACAAAATAGTATAAATACACACTAAACATACCTTTGAAACAAAATCTATGTATTTTGTTTGGTATTGTGACTAAAATTGATTAAAAATCTACCCAGTTTCAAACTTTTAATGTTTATGCTAAAAAAATCGAAATTGGCGCTTCGTGCCAATATAACACGTGATACATTCCAATTGCATTGATTGGTGCAAATATTAGTACTTCCACTAATTGCAAAATATTTCAGCAGCAGAATTTCAACAGGATAATTTTTTTTTTAAATCTACTGATAATGTCTTCTGATAATGCAGTTTTAATAGAATGGAATTCGTCGTAGCTGGGATGACATGAATATAACAAGAAAACTTTTCTGAGAGATTACGACTAGCCTCGATCACCGGGACGCGTTTGCTCCAGTGAACTAGCAATAGAGCAATCCGCGACGCGCCTTCCGGTTTTAAGCGAAGACCATTTGCCAGTCAGCTGAGTATTTGTAGACTATTTATACAAAATTTTCACTTCTTTGCAAAAATAAATATGTTAGGTCAGTGGCGAGCTAGCCTTGGCAACAGGTCATGTTATGCAAATCTTTAATGAGTGGCATTTGTTCAAACTTTTATGTTTAGAAATGTATTGTCTTTAACCTATTTAAATCGAAGTTGATTAGCATAACATGAACGTGTTGCCATGGTTAGCTTCGCCATTGCCCTAGGGTTTCGCCATAGTCGTGCGCATAAAAATTAAAACTAGCTGACGAAATAGAGTGAAATTACTCCTTTGTCTTTTCTTTTTGCTGGAGTTATTTTTACTCTTTTGGTGAAGTCAAATTGCCTCCCAGTTGATATACATTTTACCTGAAATATATATAAAAATGAGATAGTTTTAACTCCTTTTATGCATGGAGTGTGTTCAACTCCAAAATTTTGACTCTCCCAAAGGCAGTAGTAGTTTTAACTCCTGATTCCTTGAAATATATTTAACACTATAATGCTGAAAACCATTGTTGATTTGAATAAATTTCTCTTTCTTGTAGGCATATCAAAAATGGCGTGATAGACATGGGAATGAAAAGAAGTTACCAGCTCTTTCTTTTAATAACGATCAGCTTTTCTTCATTAGTTTTGCTCAGGTATGGATGCAACACAATTTACTGGCAACGTATTTTGTTATTTTGGAAATAAAAGACATCGATTTTTGGAAAGAAAAAGTCGAAGCCGGGGAAGGTCATTCTCTTATCGACATCCTGGACCATTGTTACCGGGGGAATGTGGGGAGGTGTAAGGGACTATTCTTATATGAGCCGGGCCATCCCGGCTATCTAGGGTCATAAACTTTTTTTCCTGACTGTACAAGATCATTTGAATGAACTTTATTCTCTTACTGAATCAAACTATACTGTTCTCTTACAGGAATTCAACTTTGAAATGTCATTTTCGATGTTAAGTTTATCCTTCATTAAACGAATCATCCCAGTTAACCGGCCCTGCCCGGCTCCAGCCTCCCCCTACTCCCCCCCCCTCTCCATCCCCCACAACATTTGTTCATGAGTAATTTCGATTTGATTTGAACTAATTACATATAAATTTTAAAACCAATGGCAAACGTGGAAGCTGAAAGTTAACGCAAGCTGAAAATGCATATTAATTTTGCTTGCATTTTCGGGGCTTTATGGGGATCTATAAAATATTCAAAATTTTCAGCATTACCCCAAACTTCAATAATAGTTGTAGTGCTGTATCCATTACGCTGATCTTTATTCTTTATACCTGCTACTTGAATGTACTCATAAAAAACCACACTTCAAACATTTCTTTTAGGTAACGTAAAAGGTAATTTAATTCCAGGGCCGTAGCAACCGGGGGGCTGCGGGGCTGCAGCCCCCCCCCCCCAATAATTTGCTAATAATCATTCATTTTTCAAAATTATGCTGACCTTTATCATTTAATTCATGAAAAACTGCAAAGAATGAAGATATACCCATACTTTCCTGCAACTTATCCAATATATAGTTAATTGACTTAATTAAATACGCCTTCACCCATTTAGTACTACTGAATTGTAAATTTCAACATACTATAATGCTGTTTTCTGACCATCAGAATTTTGTCAAATCTTCCCCAAAGTCCAGGAAATGGCATTTCAGACACTCTAAATTTAAAAATTTCCTCGGGCCTTCGGCCCTTGCTTTCAGCCCCCCAATCGAAAAGAGCTACCTACGGCCCTGAATTCATAGGCTTACGAAGCTGTAAGGGGGGGGGGGGGGTTACTATTCACTGCCCATGGAGAACAATCTCACGCTTCATTAGCATGCATGCGCATTTAAAATCTGAATTAGTATTCACAACTTTCATAAACAGGCCTACAACATGCATGATCGACTTACTGATCTTTAATACGATTTACAAAATTACAAGTGTGCACATGTCTGACCTAAATACCGCGTCGTGATTTGTTGGTACCCTTATTAATTATTCACGAATTTTACAAGTGTTTTATATAACGCGTTACATGTGAATTGCTGACGTCATAGACAGTGGGATACATTGAAATTTTGCATTCTCCATTGTACTTCAAAAATCTTTCAACATACCACAACTAATATATTACAACGCGTTCCAAACTATTTTCAATAATTCCAAACTATTTTTTTTTCTGAAAAAATTTAAAAAATAGCAAAAAGTGCGAAGATTTCATTTTAGCAAATGGAAATACTATTTTTTTGCAGACACTCTGCAAAAAAACAGCATTTTATCTAAACGAGACACTATTCTGAAATTATTAATGCTAAAGTGCATATTGGCAGTACTCATACTTACATGACTGACACTGGTTTCAGATTGTCATATATAAAGATGGCAACCATTGTCAGATATAAATATAAATAAGGTAGCTGAATTTCAGACACCGGCGAAATCGGTTTGAGTTTGTCAAAATCATATATAAATACCAACCATGCAGAGATAAATTATAGGTGTCTGAATTTCAGACACCCAAAATGGTTTGAGGTTGTCAAAATCATATATAAATACCAACCATGCAGAGATGAATTAGGTGTCTGAATTTCAGACACCGAAAACGGTTTGAGTTTGTCAAAATCATATATAAATACCAACCATGCAGATTGAGATAAATTAGGTTTCTGAATTTCAGACACCGAAAACGGTTTGAGTTTGTCAAAATCATATATAAATACCAACCATGCAGAGATAAATTAGGTGTCTGAATTTCAGACACCCAAAATGGTTTCAGTTTGTCAAAATCATATATAAATACCAACCATGCAGACTGAGATAAATTAGGTGTCTGAATTTCAGACACCGAATTAAAACGGTTAGAGTTTGTCAAAATCATATATAAATACCAACCATGCAGACTGAGATAAATTAGGTATCTGAATTTCAGACACCGAAAACGGTTTGAGTTTGTCAAAATATATTTTCCGATATATTTTAGGTAGCTGAATTTCAGACACCGAGACTGGACAGACTGGTTTGAATTTGTCAAAATCTTATCTAAATACCAACCATGCAGATATATAAATTAGCTAGCAGAATTTTAAACAGCGAAATTGATTGGGGTTTGTCAAAATCTTAACATAATATTAACCAACCATTATATTTTGTATGAATATTCACACATGCAATATAAGTGTCGTATTTTGGCCTTTCCTAGCCTGCGCGCAGAATATATAATGACATATATATATATATATATATGTCATTATATAGTCTGCGCGCAGACTAGGCCTTTATTGCTTTGCTATCTTTAAGATCGCTTATCGTGCAAAGGAAAATCGAAAACATTTTGTGACATATAGCTAAGCAAAGTTGTCGTTCGTTCATATATCTTCACAGTATGAGTAGAGTCGAATGCTCACAATACTTCTGACTAGCCATGGCCATGGCTGCATGTACAGTAGCTATAATAAACTAGAAAAAATATGAATAAGGTGTCGACGCGTTGTAAATAAACTTAACCCAGAGATAATTTACCATAGTTAAATTAAGTGTAATGCATTTGAAGGTCGTGAAGGGCCTATACATACACACTCCACAACGTACGAATGAAATTTGATATAAAATCATTGCAATTCAAGTTTTAAGAGAGAACGCTCCTGTATGATTCAGAGCTAGGTTTTGTTGGTAGTCAAGGACTATTAAAGTAATAATATAGCTGATATTACATATATATGTATACATCGTAAGTAAGTGCGGTACACTAGCTATAATTAATATCAGCGCAAACCGCAAATGATCTACAGTTGTCACGTTAGTATTGGTTCAGCGAATTGCGCGCATTATATTTGAACATGAATATAAAATTACTATTTCATAATTCTCGCAATACACAATTCATAACAAATAGAACTATGATTTACCTGGTGCCGCGGTTCATCTTACTGGCGAATATCAATTCATATCCCATAGCTCTCTGTCTGATTTAGTCTTTCTCTTGTATCGGCAACATAAATTTGCAAAATAGCATAACGACCAGTCTGGCCATATTTTGAAATTTGAACTCACCGCGGGACAATCCATCCAATCAAAACGCTTGTGCGTGGACAAAAAACTCAGTGTAACAACTCAGAGGAGGTTGCCGTCAAACATGTTACGTCCTGATTGGTTGAGCTTTATTCATAATCTTAAATTGATTCTGCGTTTCCGTGCGGGTATGTTCATATTTCAAAGTCTAGTGCGGCAACATAACAGAACTGGTAATGGGAATCGATTCAACTTATATCGATGGCAGACAACGGTCATAACGACATAGCGAAGAACTATAGTTACTAAATGAATACAGTGCGGGTCATAGTCAGTCTGAATTCGCTGTCACAAAGATTTATGCATGAAAAATTTGGAAAAGGATACAAATTTTGACTTGGTATAGTCACTAGACTAGGCTACGTCTATAATGTCAATGCAGGTAACTCATTTTACTATTTATCAATATTCTAAGGGCATTTAGAAACATAATTTGTTTACCTTGTAGCGCGAGTGATTTTACAATGCTATTCCCAATCATTTAATATCATGCGCGAAATTTTGCGATTTTTATGCTGAAAAACATTGACTAATATGCGCTGATATCCTTCCTCCCATGGTGCCAGTGAGTTTAAATAATTGGCTTTGTTAGCTTGGTTTGCGCCGATATTATTATATATCACATTCGCATGTGCCGTATATACATAGTCATAGAGCTTTCACGAGCATCATTAATAATAATATTCATATCGCTAGTAAATGCCTTTATCTTTCTTTGACTCTAAGATGATATATATGCAATTGAACAACACGTCAACACTTTAATCATGTAAAAGCTGTTTTATTTTATTATTTGATTATAGCTCGTTGACCGCGGCATCTAATTTAGTGGGAAAAGATTGCAAGTATTCGCGTCAGGTAGCCATAACCTAACACCAAGTCCAAGATGACAAACTGAAAGGCAAAGCCAAGAGATAAAGATTCAGTCGATTCATGGAGTGTACAAATCTGTGAAATCGAACTGTCATACCGCATATAGTTTATACCAGATATGTATGTATTATAGATCATATACCTTCCAATAATTCCGCACGTTTAATCTCAGGTTCTACGCTATAAATGTAGCTATATATGTAGTTAGTACAGATTCTGTACTAAAACATTAATTCTGTTTTGTGATTGGCGCGGTTTAAATCGTTTAATCAAATAACCCTCCCGTTGAACCAGAGCCTTCACGACGTTTCAATTTATTATTTACTGAAGGCTCTGGAATCCAGGGGCGCTTTCCATTATTAATACACGGCCAGATCGGTCAGAATGGTCAAATTGTTGAATGTAACACAAAACGTTTGGACTTCGGACTTATCTGACCGGAAATTTTAGATAACATTATGAGAACAGAATGAGGTCCTTTTTCGCTAGATATTTGAGAAACATAGACCATGTCTTTCCATTGATACAGAGAAAATAATTCGGGTCTGACCGGTCAGGCCATTAAATGGAAAGCGCCCAGGGTAATAAAATATTCGCCAGATCTGAAATCCGAACAATTTTTTCTGTGAAATCCGACGATCCGAAAACCTATTCACCCTATATTATATAAAGAGTCAGCTCAAGAGCCCGGCCTGGGTGAAATTGATCATCGCCAACTTAGTTTTATTTAATTAATAATAAACTAAATACTTATATGCAAGATTGAAATCCGTTTCAAATATATGAATAATATGATCCCCAACGCCAGTGCTCTCACTTTTAAGGAATTATCCTTAAAAATAGGAATTTTTTTAATCAAATGTTTTTAGTGTTTGGAAACTAAGGTTTAAAGTGCTTATGTCACAATTTTTTTTTTAATTTTAATTTTAATTTTACAAGATTCGCCAAACATAACAGACATAAATAAGACTAATACTTTACAAAATTTACATACAATTCGGGCAGGGACTAGCCACAGAGATAATCTCCAATTATGGGGCCCCTCAATTATGGGGCCCCTCTTGATATTTGGTAGAGGACAAAAAGTTAGTTAATAGGTTCTTTAACATTTTTCGGTTTTCTCTTTTCATTCGCGAGATACGAGGCTCTAAACAGCGATTTTCGTAAAATTGTCGCGTATAAACAAGAATCTGGGACGAGTGTGGTGTGACGTAGCTTAAGGGACTTAATTTCGACGCGCATTATACATTTGATATATTTTCCAGCACGTCAGGCAGTAGCTCGGATTCGGAAAGCACTCATAGTTCTCAATGTGACTCAGAATACAATTATATTCCTGGATATATTATAGAGGATGAATCAAATGTTACTAGTCACGAAATTGGAACTCTGGAAGCAGTTGATAGCAAAATTTTAGGCGATTATGATGCATGCCTTTATGCCGATGAACCGCTAGCCGGCGAAGAATGGTACGCACAATATTTCAGAAATTCAGCAGAACACAAGCAACAAAAAGAGATGCTACAGCGAAGGTTAGATGGCTTTGAAGATATTAAATTATGGTGAGTGTAAACATAGATTTATTTTAACATTTTAACGTAAAATAAGTATCTCTGGCTAATATATTTTGCGGGATACGGGCTCATATGGTATCAGTCACAACAAAGAGTTAAAACCACACTTCCCTCACCTTCGCAAGAAAATACAAGACACGAGATCAAAGAAAATATAAACAGACTGGTTCAGAGCAAATTACGTATATATTCTTGTTTGAAGCTACAGTGTTTATCTGTGATCACGTTTATTTAAACGTTTATTTGATACGAACGATTGAACGATTGTATTTTCTCGCAAGTTCAATTCTTAAAGCCCATTTTTCCAAACAAATAGGTCTGAATCCCGAGTGTAGAGTGATACAGCACGGCGGCTGTGGCCAGGGGCGCCGGAGCCACGGGGGCAGCGGGGACAACTGCCCCCGTTGCCCAAACATTGCGGGGGCAGCACGGGGGCAACAGTTTGCCCTTTTGGCCAGAACTGCATCTCGAAATTTGTGCATTATTCACAGGAATTTGAGTTCAGAACGATTTTAAAGTGCATGACATGAAATTTCTTATTTTCTTAAATGAAAGAACTCTTTAATCTGTAGTGTAACTTATATTTCAGTTTCTTGTTTTTATGGTTTGTTCCCGAGATATTTCAATTTGTTTGATATGTATATGAGTGTGAATATGTCCGCTAATTTATGACGTCACGTTGGTTGCAAGCTCAACTTACACTGGTTATAAATCTATTAACTCTAAAAACTGTAGATATCAGTTCACGTTTTTCTCCAGTATTTCATCATATTTACCAGTGAGTAAAGTTTAAAATTATCATTTTGGATGATAGCAGTGATACTCAATCATTTTGAAGAGCTTGCAACCAACGTGACGTCATAAATTTGCGGACATATTCACACTCATTTACATATCAAACAAATTGAAAGATCTCGGGAACAAATCATAAAAACAAGAAACTGAAAAATAAGTTACACTACAGCTTAAAGAGTTCTTTCATTTAAGAAAATAAGAAATTTCATGTCATATGGACTTTAAAGCAATGTTTAAAGATGCGGTACAGTCCGTAAGTAAACAAAGGATTTGTTTACATTTCAGTATCGAAAATATAGAGTTTTATTCGGCAACTATTTATATTTTCATGATTCTAGAGTATAATAAATTATAAAGACACCACAATCAAGCTTTACAAGAACATAAAATGAAATAAAAGCCTAAATAAACTGTTTGTATAATAAAAAGAGGGCTCCTTTGTGCACATACGCAGATCGGAATGTACAGCATATCTTTAAGCAGTCTTTGCTTAGTTTTTAACCAGTTGTAGTAAAATTAATGCTATTTACAGGGGCGTAGGAAGCATCAAAAAGTTGGGAGCACCAGTTTCGAGGGGCACTTTTGGAATGAAAAGGGCATCTAAAAATATTTCCCGTAAATGTCGCCGACGGGAGAGCGGGGGGGGGGGGAGGAAAAATAAATGCAATCATATTAAAATCAGAGGTCGTTGAGGCTGACTCACGGATGAGATCAAATCAAAGTGACAGAAAGAATTAATGCAGTTTGCAGTTGTTTTTGCAAACGAGCATCGTGCAAATGTTGCCATTTGTCGTGTCCAAGCCCGATTTCCGGTTCTAAAAGGCCCGATTTACAGGAAAAGAGTGCGCGCCAAGCATACTGGTCATTTCTCATTGTTTACACCGGGAAAAAAATTGAAAATCCATAGAAGGTCATAGAATGGAAATTGTATGGACCTTTATTGGAAATAATATAAATTTTGGTT